TGTCTAAGAACTTATCACTAAATCAATATCAATAATATAATTATCAGTGTACTCCATTAAAGATTATTCTGATATATGAGCCAATTAGTATGCTTTCTTTAAAAAGCCAGTATGCTTTCTTTACTGGTCTGGTGTTTATCTTTCTTGTCTAGATTGTCTGTTTACTTAGTGAATGTAAGGCCATCAGAAATTTTCAGTGAAACATTTTCAGCCACTCTCATAACATATCCCAGGCTAACACAAGAGTGAAAACAGAGAAACTGGCGTATGGGTTTGCATGCTGAATACATTAAAAACAACATATAACCTGCTGCTAAGGTTTGATGCAGTAAGTGCAGTATTAAATTAGAATCCTAGTGTTACTGCACAAAAAATTCAGGAAATTTTATGCTTTAAATTAAAAAATGAATCAGAAGTTTGTAAATTAATGTCCACAGATGCAAGGCAATGCACAATTAAGTAATGTGATGTAACATATGTCCTACATACTTATGTACAGTGGGGGGCAGCCACAGTATTAGAGCACCAATCTATGTATTGCAGAACATATGTCAGATTTGTAGACCACTTGGAAGCTGCAGCTGGTACAAAGTGAAGTTCCTATTTGCTTAGCAGATCTGGCAGTAGGAGAATACCTTATGCTAGTGTTGTTTTTGCTATATGTTCCCACAGTACAAATTCACACTACTGATGCTGATCATTTAACTTGTGTATATTTTTGATCCTTTTTACCTGAAAAACTCTTTTTTTTTTTTTTTTCCTGGCAAATCTCCTGGAATTGCTCTTATGTCTGAAGCAGTGTCTCAGTTTTTTGTTTAGATTTCCTCTCTCTCAATTTTAGGACAACTAGAGTGCTAAAATCTTTCTTTATTGCTATTCATTTTCATTCTTAGTAGCAGTTCTTTTCATTGTCATCCCACCACATTTTTAATAGGAAGAAAAAAACACTCTATTTTTTCAGGAAATTTTTGTCTAACAACTATTTTTTTAGTACCACTTAGTACTGGGAGATTAGGCAGTGCTGTTCATGTATGCTTCTCCATTACTAAGACCTAAGTTTCAAGTTCAAATAGCAGCAGATCTTATTTAAACAAATAGCTAGATATCTATACCATTCTATAGAGTCAAGAAAAAATGTCTTATTTTAGCTCTTGATCCTCTCCATAATTCAATTTACTCATCTAGTAAACAGTCCTATGGGACTGTTTTTTTCATTTTCCACTAGGTCATGTGTGATAGGATTCTCCATTATACCCCAAACACAATATGTCAGAACTTCCTAATATGTCAGAACTTCCTAATATGTTCCAGTCTGCAGTTAATTTCTTCTACCAGACTCCACTTGAGTATGCACTCTGATTGATCAATCTTATGATACAGCAGCAGACCTACACAAAATTCATTAATTATCCAGTTTTTCAAGGATGTCATTTGCTAGTAGAAAGATTAAAAAAAAAAAAAAAAAAGTATCCTCCCCCAGTAAATTCTCCTAGCATACACAAAGCATTTCTTTATTTCAGTTTTATGTGAAAAATAATGGAGTAGGGAAGTGGCCATGGTGCAACAGACAGTACTTGTCCATCTTTCCTGAAGATGCTAAGCTCCAGCCTCTGCTTGCATAACTCCTCTGACTTTTGCTTATATGCCTTGATCTGCACCAAATGAATACCCAGTTTGTTCTCAACTTTCCTTTCCCTGATTCAGATGTATACCTTTTAAAATAGAACAATTCTTTTTCTTGTTTCAGAAAAATGGGATGATGTTGAAGAACTATGTGTACTGTATTTAGCAACAATTTTACACAGAAAAATAATTTCAGGAAGTTGCCAGTTTTTAACCTTATCTCTACAGTAGCCAATATTCACAAACATATAATGACGAAGAGCATGATCATAAAATTTTAAAACTACTTTTTGATTCTCAAAAATGAAATGGAGGATCTCTTGATGAGATAGCATTCTCATATTCAAAATCATCATTTAATATTTTGAATAAATAAGAATAAATTCTATAGTTCTTCATGAGAAGACCTACAGAACATGCATTTATGCAAGAATTCAGTAGCATGAGATCTCTTCTGCAAAATACCAAGCTCAGTTGGTAATACTCTTATCTCAGGACCAAAGCTCTCTTGGCAAGGTGGAGGTATGAACCCTGGGCTGACACTTTTGTGCACCTGTAGCCTGAAATGCAGCAAATCCCTTACAGACATATTTAAGTATTTGCTTAAACCCCTCCTGTTTCTGGAAAGCATTTAAGCTTTCACTTTAACACTTTAGTCGATCAGACTGCTGGTTAGCTGCCAGTTTTTGGCTGAGATATTAAATTTAAATCCCTTCTGCCCAGCTTCTTTGACCAGCATCTGGGAAAGAAGAAGAGTCTATTATGTCATTAAAAGATATACATATATAGCTTCTGAAAGGAATATGCTGGCCCCTTTTTCTCTGTTTTGTTTTAGGCATTTTATTATTATTATTTCGTAGTAGTTCTAATATGCAAGTGTGTGGATGGGTTTTTGCTGAGTGCATAGAGCTATTGCTCTGCCCATGCTTTTACAAAAAGTAATTAGTTTTAAAAGTTTTTAGAGACTTAAACTAGAAGAGTCATGTTGTAAAATCAAGTGATGTTGTAAGTGATGTCATCTTACAAGTGCATCACTCTTTTGTTTCCTTTAGCAGGAGCTAAGCTTAGGAGCTTTCACCTTGTAAAAAAAAAGAATTTCCAGTGATTGACACCACAATTGTATGTCTGCCTTTTCAGCTGAAGACGCATCTGTGTGCTGGATGACTTTCACTACCTATTTAACACATTCTTACACTTTTTTTTTAAGCTTAGGAGAGAAACGGGGAAGGCTACATTTTAACTATCTGTGGTGCTCACAGCTGCTGTGATCACAGGCCTCTAAGGTTACAGCATTATAGCAGGTTAGAACTGTGTTATGTAAACGGGACACGAGAGCTTCCAAAATCCCTTAATCTTATGTCAGCACGGAGAGCTGATGCCGCTCCTGCCTCTGAGTCTGTGTTCCACTGCCCTCTGCGGGCAGCAGCGCTCAGGAGCACTGAGCACAGAATAAAGAGAGATAAATGCTTTCAGTAACTCAGTGATTTATTTTTTCCCCTGATTAACATCTCTTTCTGTTGACAAGAGGCCTTTTTTTTTTTTTTTTTTTTTTTGGTTATTGGACAAGAAATCTGTATCTCTGCTTTTCCTAACAAGGATTTGATGTGTATCTCACATCAAATGCAATATAATTATGAGGAATTGGTCACATATACATACCTCTCTGCAGTTGTGGATAGCTACTTAGGTCAAACTCTGTATTGCAGAACAGGCCGAGTTAACATGCTATGGCTACATCTCTAAATGCCAGCAACATCAATAATATTGAAAATAAAGGTACTGATAGCACTACCATATCTACAACACTGTGTGTGGACTCTTTGGGCCCTCTTCACCTAGCCCTCTTATGCACCTGCATCTTTTCCATTCCCTATTCCTCCTCTAAGAGTGTGTTCTTGCTGTCTAGAAGGCATCTCTAAAACTGTAAAAAGAGTTAGGTTCCCTTAGTAAATGTTGGATGAGAACTAAGTAGTCCAGGGATGTGTGGGGTGAAGGGGCATCTTGGAGTTCCACAAGGGACTCAGTGAGGCAAGGAATTGTGCCAGGGCTGAAGATCGTTCATCAGGAGAACTTTTTGTGTAGGAGCTTGTCTGGGGAAAGACACCCCCATTTTAGCCCCCTGAAGCCTTTTTGACTCCCATCTAAACATGTAACTTTGCTGCAGGATGTAGTCATGTGGAGTTAATAGTGGAAGTGGTGTTAAGTCAACGTGAGTTGGTATGACCACTGGCATTGGCAACCCAGCCCATAAAGTCATTGGCCACTATGGTGACATCAGGGAAGCTTCTTGCTATGATTCCTTTCTCTGTGCTTCATCTGTCTGTACTCACAACTGCTTTATCTGGTTCATTCACAGCTCTGCCTCCTCCTCAGTTATTGTGTAGAAAGGCATTAACTCAGGACTCAGCATATACTGTAGACCATCAGAAAGGAATCACTGAATTCAGACTGTTCCGTGAGCACTAAAGAAGCTGCCTCCCAGCACACAGCAAGCTCTTACTTTTTTAGAGATATGTCAAGCAAATACACAAGACAAAAGCCTGCCTGGTTGTGAAGATTTGCCTTGGAGGAATATTGGACTGACAACACCCACCCTGTGTTAGGACAGTTACATTTATTGAATTCATGTGAACCGCACTGGTTTGCTCTGGCATATTCAATGTGCAATGCTTGAGCAGACAAGAGGGAAGGCTTTGGGGGTGGCAGAAAGAAGCTAAAGACATGGAGGCAGCACACTGACCTTCTGATATGCTTGTTTCTTCTGCCTTCCTGCATTCTGCTGACAGCCAGTCCCACACCATGCATGGCGATTGCTGAAACCTGCTACCTGCTGTGTGAGGCTGCTGCTTTCCAAAGGCTGGTTGTAGCTCAGGAATGGATAACCTTTGCTCTCACTCATCCACACACAATAGGAATGATATTTCTTGGGCAGGAGCGAGGGGGGATTTTTTTTTCCTTCTTCTTCTTCACTCCACATGGGGAAGACACTGTCTATTATTGACTAACCTCAGTTATGCACTCTGGGCTACACTGAGATGGCATGTAGCATTTTGTGGTCTGTCACATTTGCTCTTAAGCTGCTTGTTTTTCCCATGGCGTAGCTGCCTGACATGGAAATGCCTGCATATGGAATGCCTGCAAACTGTCCTTCACTCATAGTTACATCCCAAGAGGTGCTTTTATTGGCTTAGTTTTTACCTCCTGTAATATAATTTATTTTGTTGGCAGTTGAAATGGTCCCTGCTGTGAAGCTCGTGTGCTCTTTCCTCCACTGCTCATGTCCCCTTTTTGTTATACGCCCTCAACAGATGTGAGAAAGAATAAGGAGGCTTATGACGCTAAAGTCTTGCAGAGGGCATGAACTCACCGTGTTTCACAGGCTGCCCAGGTAAAATATGAACTGTCATTCTGTGTTACCGATCATGTTGTGGGGCAAGGAATTTAATAACTTGTGAATGACATAGGTTTATGTACTGCAAACAGATTAGCAACAATGAATGAGAGCCTATTCTTTTGGTAATGAAGAACTTTAAATTGATTTTGTCAGTTATCTATGACTGTTACAATTCTTTCAGGAACAGATCTGATTTAAGAGTTTCCCCCTCACCTTTGAGGAGCTCATCCCTCATCTCCTGCAAGAGATCATGCTCCCTAGGTTGTGCCACTTCAATTGTTCGTGTGACTGCACCATTCACCAGACCTAGGCACTCATTTGTCTCAAAAAGTAATAGGAAGACGTATTTTTTTTAAAAAAACATATAATTTCCAAAATCACACAAGCGGTGTAATTGACACAAACAAGGTCTATGTGATAACCTCTTGGAGAAGAACCAGAAATAATTGTCAGTGGGTGGGAAATGAGGAAAGAGAGATCTTAAATCAGGTCTGCTGTAACTAGAATAGCAACATGGAAACTTATTTTTATAGTATGCTAGTGCTTAAAACATGTTGTGTGCTAACAGTGCATAATTGTGAAAAAGAAATGCATAACCCCAATTCAGAGAATCAGTCTGAGGAGACAAAATGGTGATGGGTAAAAAAGTGCTATTTGCAACTGAATAAGCTATTGATAAAAACTTGCCTGATGCAAAAATTATTTTCATGCTATCCAATATACTCCAATGATACATTACATATCATTTTTTAATCTGCTCTCTCTTATTCAGTGCCCTTAACAGAAACGCCTAATGAATATTCCTAATACTAAAAAGGTCTGTGGTTTAGTCTTTTCAGACTAAAAATATCTAAAACTAGGGGACTGTTGTAACATTATTGACACATGGGTGTCAAGATATATTTACACCTTGGTACCTAGCAAGTTTCAGTTAGACAGTTTTTTGAAGAAGAATACTATGAAAAAAGAAGTTGTGCAAGTTTGAAAAATGTGATTTCGTAACTATTGCCTTGAAGTAAATCCATGTTGGACTTTATAAAATGATGAACATATCAATATAGGAAGCATATACTTGCATAAAGCAAACAATATATGTCATAAAATGTGACTTGTAATGTTTCAGAACACACAAACAAGGAGTAAAACACGTCCAGCTGGTGTTGGCATGAGCCATGGTGATTTCACAAATCATAAAACAAGAAGTTGCTTTTGCCTTGCAGTAAGAGAAGAAGCCATCTAATTCAGGCCACAGGAGGCCCCCACAGAGCAGGCAAAAGGCAAACTTCCCCAGCCTCCCTGGATTTCACATTAGCAGATCTGCAGGATGCCTGCTCTGTGGTCCTCGCATGCAGAAAAGACTCACAAGCGACAAGAAGAATGGAGCATTAGCACTTCTGTCAAGGAAGAGACACAGATTCTGCACTTAGGCTGCTGATAAACAACAAAGCTCAATAAAATAGTCACTTTAGATTTGTTATAGGAACACTAAGTACAGTACCTTTCAAACTTTGAAATAATTTCTATAGTAATAAAAGTCACTGTGACAATATAGCTCCATTGCTGCAATTTTCATCTATTCCTCTCTTGTTTATAAGCTCCACTGTAATAATACTTTGCCCATCAGAATTCATTGAAATGGATTTCATTATCCCAATCAGCCCCCTGAGTCATTGCTTTATTGTATTACATTTCCTTCCTACTGTATTTGAACTTTCTTCTAATACTAAAGCTGATTCCAAGCCCATTACAACTAGTTGCAAATTAGCTTTTATTCTACTCTGACTGCTGAAGTGTGTTTTAATAAATTCATGCCAATAATTTTATAACCTAATATTCATGCACTTTATCTTTTAATTACTGTACCCTAAATTAATCTAGTTATACTTCTGATTTATTTCATGCTTTTTCTTGGTCCCACACTGGGCTAGCATCTTTTTTGGTTTGCATTGACAGTGATACCACTTTCTCCCTAGTTTTTGGACCAGAAATTAGCATGATATACCAGTGTTTTCTGAGGGGAAAGGAATATACTGTATTTTATGGACACATTTGCTTGGAAATACACATTTGGAATGAGAGGGAAAAGCTTTACAACTGTGATATAGATTAGAAAACATGCACATGAATGATTTTTTAAGGAGAAAGCTCCTCGACTGCTATCAAGCAATGTCGCTCTTAGACACCTTAAACACAGAGTCCTCCTTCCTCACCATTCAGCTCTTCCACTAAATACCAGCACATGGGCATTCGCTGAATCTCCAAGGCTCAGAACAATGTTTTCTGTATCCATATACATACCATAGACTCCTTTGAAACATACTCAGAGAGAATAGCACTTTTAAACCACTTGAGTGGAAGGGCCAAAAAATATCAAAAAACTGCCTTCAGTTATGCAGTTAGAAGAGTTTAAATTCTGCATTTTCCAGGGGTGTTAGAATTCATTCATGTTGGTATTCTTTGCTCATTTTGGCCTTGTAGAAGGCTAAGAAACACAACGCTAAGTTGTTCTATCTGTTTAAGTATCTATTTAAGCAGGTATATGAAGACATACAATTACATCTTCGCTTAACCGGAGGAAAAATCTGCTATGGGAGAGACAAGAGAATGGTAGTTAGCAAGTCCTATCTTTCAGCTACCTGACACTTTCCACTGTTAAACATTTTGGGGAATATTTTCTTCAAAAAGTTCCCACACTTCCAAGATTGTCTGCAATATAGAGACTTACTTGATAGAATTATGCTATTAGACAGGGGAATCCCCATTCTTTGTCTATATATGTTTGCCAAGACAAAAATCACTAACACCTTTGTCCTTTGTCTACACATTTCCAAGTAAACATTTTTAGTGTGTCAGAAGGTAGTACACAACAACCATTAGGCTGGTCTTGCTACTAAGTTGTAGGAGCAACACATACCAAAGTGATGCTAGAGGGGACACTGCCATACTCAAGTCCATGGAAAGGACTTGCTTGACTCTCTGTCCTTACTGATGTTCCAGGTGTTTTCAGTACAGCATGAATCACTGCTGCTACTTGGGCAGAAAAAGCTGATTCTGAATAGTGTGACTGAAAACAATTTCTGTAGGAATTACCACCAAGATGACAGATTTAAGGTAGGCTAAATTCTCAATCTTATACTGAAAGAAAGTGAGAATAAGACAGGGATGAGGAAGGGGAAAGAACAGCTCGTAGGACCTACAACAGCAGGGGCAGGCTCTGCCAAAATGAAGATGATGATTTCTCCGTTTCCTTTATACTTGCATTTCAGACAATAGAAAAGTAGAAATTGTTGCTAAGAATTGCTTTTACTTCTTTTAAGATTATCCAAAGCTTCATGCATACTTTTCTGTTCTGCCAGTCTTGTGTTTTTATATATTACCTTTATGGAACCAGGAATGATCACTAATGCTGGTATAGCAAGTCTTCAATCCTTTATATCAGTATTGCTGTATATGCAGTTAAAGATTAAAAAATGTGGCACTCCTCTTCCTATCAGTTCAAAATTACCAAATATTCCCCCATTCCAATTTACATATCACATACCTAGACTGGGAACATGCTGCTCTTCAGACTAAAAAAAAAAAATCCTTTCCTCCTCAGTATGTTTTCCTTTTTATTTTCCTGTATCAGCTATTGTAGCTCATGTTCAGATATTATCTTTGAACATTAACCTTTTCCACTAGATGGCACAAAGTGCCACATGAGTGGCAGGAGACAGAGGGGATGCCATGATTTAAAATGTGCGTAATGCCTAAATAAGAAACATTTTATTTAAAAGCAATATAATCCTATAGTAACTGGAAACTATTGATTTCACTGGTATATACTGATTTATAATAGTCAAAACTTAAGGCATTTAAATACATCTACTGCATATAAATTTGTTTTCTAAGTTATTTACCATCTTCAGAGTAGAGCACTCCTGTGTTTCATAGGAAGAGCATCTCATATACCATATCATAATATCTCATTCATTCATAATTCCTTAGAGACATCCGGTAAGAAGATTTGAGCATCGGGTAGTTCTATACTTGGTTACCATACCAAAATGCTAGTAAAGTCTACTTTGAAATGTGAAATAGATAAAAAGAGCTTTTTATGTTGTTCTTGAAAAGAAGTAAAAACGAAAAATATCACTGATTCTTTGGAGATCTGATATCTTTTTAAAATCGGCCTGCGTGATAGTTGTTGCTTTTTGTTCCTCCAGCCTCATCAGTGTTAATTACTCACCAGCTTACACTTTATCAGAATTTTTTAGACAGAATTCGTAGACCTCTTTTTGCTGCTATACCGCTGGATTCCCATCAGTCTTTGACTGACAATTTACTTTTAGAAATGCAGTTATCCAAGTCTAACAAATAGCCCAGTTTAAAACCCTTGCCCAACTTAAATAGCCAAGACCTCAGAGGTAGAACTTCTGAATGAATCATATGTCTGGGTATCACAGAAGTCACCCCTGTAAGATCCCCTAGTTGTTCCAAAGCCTCAGATTAAATTTGGCTCAGACCAAATACAGCGACTTCTCTCTTTCCTTTCTGTTCTCAGGCCCCAGTGGAATTGCTGATAGCTGGGAAGCCATCCAACTCACCAAATGAAGTCCATGGCTGCATTCCACAGGGTCCATGACACTTACCCAGGTTCTCCTGACTGACATTTTCCCCATATGGAAAGTTTTTAAAGAGATTTGCACTTGGGAGGTTTTATGCAACTGATGAAATCACATTACATTTGTTGCCATTGGAGTGATTTCTAGCTCTTTGTTTTTTTTTGTCCCGAAGTGAACTTTAAGCTGTCTTTAAAAATAGCCTTTCAATTTCATGTTTTATTATTGTGCTGACCATTGTGCTGCTTATGTCTCCTGCAGTAATCAAGACTCTAAAATAACTGTTATCAAAAACTGGCACAAACCAAGCTGCCTCAATGCTGTCTTCCTTTCTTTGGCTGTCTGCCCAGTCTAAGAGAAGCCTAGAACTAATGAGCACGATTTTTACCTGAGC